CAGAGAGGGAAGGAAGGAGGAAAGAGAGAAGGAAGGGAAGATAAAATGGAAGGAAGGATGAAACAGGGGAAAAGAAGGAAGGAGGGAAGAAAGCAAGGAAGGAAGAAGGAAAAAGAGAAGGGAGAAAGGGATGAAGAGAAGGGTGGATGGAAGGAAGGGAAGGATAAAGGAAAGAGAGAAAAAAGAAAGAAAAGGGAAGGAAGGAAGGAGAAAGAGTGAGAGGGGAGGAGGGAGGAAAGAGAGAAGGAAGGAAGGATGAAAGGATGGATGAATGGAAGGAGAAAGGGGTGGAAGGAGGAAGGAAATAGAGAAGGAGGGAAAAACAAAAGGGAGGGAAGGGTGGAAGGGTGGAATGGAAGGATGGAAGGAAGGACGGAAGATAGGGAAGGAGGAAGGAAGGATGAAAGGGTGGAAGGGAAGGAGAAAGAGGAAGGGAAGGAGGAATGAAAGAGAAGGAAGGATCGATAGGCTTGTGAGAGAGGAGGGCCTGAGAAAAGAGCCCAAAGGGCTGCATCCCCGCTTTGGGTTTGTCCATACCTGCTCTACATACTGACAATCTACAAAAAGAAGGGAACATTTCTTGCTCATATTAAACAGAAGAAATCAATACGATATCTTTATACATTTCCCCATTATAGAATCAGTGAAGTTTACCAAAATACATGTTAAAATTATTTCAAACAATATTAACCCACAGCTGATGGTAAAATACAAATTTGCTCCTTAAGCTGGCAGGTCAAATGACTCCTGAGAAGGATGCCTTCGGAATGAAAGTTGGGGTGCCAACTGATAGATATGAGATGCAATCCCACCAATGAGGACTTCATTAGGCCGGTGCCATTCATGCGGGATAGGAAGGGGATCCGTTGGTGTGCATTTCATAGTGTGCACTTTGCAAATGGCATGAGTGGCCAGGAAAACCGGCAGCATTAAGGTCAACATCAAGGCGTCTGACTGCAATGCTTTCCTCTAAAGGTGGACTTTTCTTATTCTTCCTGCAATGTGACTCCTGCTGTCAGTCTTGCTTGGAAAAGCTGAGTTCCAAGATTCGAATGCCTTCTGGCTTACTAACAGTATATTCAACTGTTCAGGTTGTTGCAACTCGGTCTGTTTCCAATATCTAATTTTAGTTTTCAACAGTGCACTCTAGTATTTATCATCTTTTCAGATTTTCTTTGTTGCACCCTCTGGAAAAGCCACTGTAGTCCTGATGACTTGATTACAGTGATTTCAATAATGAGAGGGAGAGAACTACTTCTGTGTTTTTCTCCCCATTTTTTCTATCTTCAAAAACTTGATAACAAAAACATGTTTTAAATGTTTTATTTTCTGATTCAAGAATGGCAGCTGAAAATTAAGCTGTCTATGTAGAATTTAGCAAATTTGGAGACAGAAATACAAGTGCTAAAATAAGCATGCAATTGTCCTGAGACAAAAAAACCCCCACAATCCTAAATCCTCCTTGTTGTTGTGTGCCTACAACTTGTTTCTGACATGGTGATCCTAAGGTGATCTCATAATGGGGTTTTCTTGGCAAGGGAGTGTGACAAAGGCTGGATCTACACTGCTGTATAATGCAGTTTGGAACTGTGTTATATGCTCAGTGTTGACCAGTGGTTCCCAAATTAAGGCCCTTGGACCGAATCCAGACCGCCAAGGTCTTTTTTCCTGGACCTCACTGCTACGGCCACATGCGCATATATGCATGTTTGGCATATGCGTGTGGCAGTGCATGTATGTGGCAGCAGCAATGGCGAGTGAGTGTGAGTGGTGGCAGTGGGTTTGTAGTGGCGGCATGTGTGTGTGGTGGTGAGTGTGTGGCATGGCAGATGGACAAGGCATGTACCCACATGCACCCGCCCAACATATGCACAATGCATCTATTTCTTACCTGCTTCTCCTCATGGCTTGAGGCAGGTTACAACATAGTTAAAACACATAGTAAATTAAAGATTATATAAATGCATGTATTAAATTGTATTTCTATAAAATACATATTAAACTGCACAGAGCAGAGATTAAAACACAGGACATTCCACAGTTTTGGGGCGGCTGGTGAAAAGGTCTTCTGGGTGATGGTTAATAGTCGAGTTTTGGGTGGTTGAAATAGAGGACCAAAGTATCTGGGAAAGATTATATGGGAGAAGGTAATCCTGTAGGTAGCCTGGACTCAAACCATGTAGTTCTTTAAAGGTCAAAACCAACAGCTTGTATTTTGGCTTGATATCCTGGGCTATATGGCTGTGTGGAAGGGGCCATTGACGTTGCAAAGTGAGTGCAAACAGATAAGATCATTTTACATTTTTTCCTAAATAATGAAACAGATATCTTCTTTTACATGGTTTATTCAAATCCACTAAATTCCGAGACAGTGCCTTGAAATCCATCATTGAGACATAGATCAGATTCCATATCTCTTTCATCTTGTGCTGTCTGATCTGTCTCGTGTCCATTATCTTTTTTCCTTTTCCCTCCTCCCTTGCTATACTTCTCTGTTGTTTTGGATTTATCTCTTCTACTCTGTTCCTCTGGTTGAAACCCTGGCTCAGTCCATGTACCTTCCCAAATTCCTTTGCTTTCTGAACAGTATTTATTCCGTATCTCTTTTGATTATATGTAAAGGGTAGGCCTTCCAACTTCTCTGATTGGAATGTGTCTTTTCATTTTTAACTTTTGTGTCAATAATATATAGTCTTTTCTTTACTTAGGGATTCTAGGAGATATGTCCTTAAATAATAACACATTTTAACCCTCAATTATCAAGTTCTTTTAGTAATGATGTTGTAAGAGTACATGTCATAGGTAGGATCTTGCAAAAGTAATCACCACATCTCTGAGAAGGTTTCTTTGTCTTGCAATATAAAGACTTCCTCCCACTGAACATGTCAAGTGCTTGGAAGATTGAGTTTACCATACAGCTCAGGCATACTCTGTTTTGAAATTAAATGAATGATTTTTGTTCTGGCACGGCTATACCAGGAACTCCAACTTACCTTTCCTTTGTTGAGTATTTCCATGTATTCTAAAGTTCTATGCATTTTACAATTAGGTGACTTTCCTTAATTTGCAGTTACTGGGCCTATGACCCCTCAGTCATCATTAGGTTCTCTAGTTCTGCCCCCTTTTGGGTTTTGGGAGGGAAAAGAAGCCATTTTAGCTCAGTCCACACAGAGAAGTTTTCATACAGGACATAAATCAGGTCCTCCTGTAGAAAGCTTCATCTTTTACAGCTTGGCTGGGGAATACAGTCTCAGCATAGCATTTGCTGGGATTTACAGCCTTATAGCTACTTTACTGAAGGGATCCAGCCCCACAGCGCTACAACCAACCATTGCTGGGAACTGAAAGTCTACAAAGGACTCTGTTTGGTAAGGGCCACTCCCGGCAGCCAGAAGCAGTTGGTACTGGGTGTAGGGGTCCCACGCCAGCAAGGCCTAAGACAGACTGCCCAGATAGAGGTTAAGGATTTCCCCGGTAGCAAAGAGACAGTTTATGAAGATAGTTGCCTGTCCCCTGTGGACAAGATTGAGAAAGCCACCAATTGGTTAAGAAAGCCTTGAAATAGTTGTGATTTATTGAAGACCTTAGCAATAATAAAAAACTTTGTTCAACCTTTAAGCAATTTAAAGACTCTGTTTAAGGAAATCCTAAGGCTTCTCATCTGAGGCAGCCCCGGCGTCCCGTTGGGCACACAGAATATACGTCCTGTCTACAGTCTCTTGCACAGGCCCAGCGAGTGACAGCACAATTTTCCTACCTCCATCCCACACTAGCAAGTTATCTGTTTTATTCAGGAGTTCTTAGTTGATTTGTCATCACATTGTAGAGAGTTGTTCCTGCCCACTATCCCTCCCACCATTTTCTTTGTGAAAAGGAATGCTCCTCTCCTGGACTATGATTTTTGTTCCTGAGTTATACATGTCATTTCCTAATTAGTTCTATCATAAACACATGAGAAAAGTTGATTAAACTGCAAAAACTTTTGTCTTTGCAGRAGGGACATCCTGCTATAGCACATTTTGCTCCAGTTTCTCAATGATTGAATATCTCGTAGAGTCTCCACCAATTTATTTATTTATTTATTTATTTACTCCATTTGTATACCGCATTTATCAGCCTGAGACGGCGACTCAATGCATAGTTTGTGACCACAAAAATAAAGTTTAATTTAATTTAATGTTTTACTTATTGTGAAACTGCTGTTTTATTTCTTTGTATATGGGGGGCATCGAATTGTTGCTGGCTGTAAGTCGCCCAGAGTCTCCTTCCATGGGTTGAGAAGGGCGGGGTACAAATATTTGAAATAAATAAAATAATAAATTTAGAGCTTAAGAGACAAATATGCAGAGTCCAATCTTAAAAGTCCCAAAAGGTTTATTTACATTAAAAAGAACTAAGTACATTTCTTAATGGTAAATAACTGGGTCTGAGCTACTCTAACACCCATCTCTTCTGAGGTTCAAAGAGAGGGGGAAACATTCAGCTACTCCATCTGAACTGACAAACAAGCAGAGAGAGATCTCAAAGCGCACAGCATACGCAAAGATGTAAAAAGCTAAAGTCAGAAGTAAAGACTTGCAGTAGAAAAGTATACATTCTACAGAACCAGAATGAGAGCACAAACAGAGGAGGGAAGAAATACATACATTCCAGCTGTCATACAGTAGCTAACCAACTTGTTTCTAAGCTAACTAACTTGTTTCTCATTCAGGCCTGGAGACTTGGGCAGTGTGGGGTTGAACTCCAACACTGAGAATGGTTTGATTGTATGTTCCTGCAGAATAGGGTTGAAATTTGTGGTCATCGAGGGTCTCTTCCAACTCTATGATTCTATGATCTACAATTTTGGAGAAGTCACTAATGGGGATCTTTCCTTGGAGTAGTCCAAGATCAGGTTTTTTTTTTTTTTAAAGACAGGATTGTGATATCTCATGCCAAGGATGTTTGAACATAGGAAATAAAATATTTTGGAGCTAACAACAGAGCAAGCAGAATAAATGTTAGATTTTAGAATTCTGTTTTCTCCTTATTAGCTGCTCCCTGCTGTTCAAATCGGACTTCAATAATATAATGTAGCATTTGGGGGAGAAAATGCAACCCAATAACCCGGCACCGGAGGACAAAATGGAAAAGACTTCCACGGCTACCATATATTTTCCTTTGGTGCTGAGGTAAGTTGGGACAAAGGACACCCAAACACTGCAGAAGACCAACATGCTGAAGGTGATGAACTTGGCTTCATTGAAACTGTCAGGCAACTTTCTGGCTAGGAAAGCCACCATGAAGCTGACGAAGGAGAGGAAGCCCATGTAGCTCAAGACACAGTAGAACATGGTGACAGAGCCTTCGTTACACTCCACAACAATTTCCTCTGTGATCAAATGCTTGTTGAAGTCTGGGAAGGGAGGAGACCATGCGAACCAAGCAACACAAATACTTACTTGAACAAGGGAACATCCCAAGACAACATAATATGCCAATCTTTTCCCAATCCATTTGCGGAAAATGTGCCTTGACTGGGAACCCATGAAAGCCACAACCACAACCATGGTTTTGGCCAGAACAGAAGACACTGCAATGGAGAAGACGATGCCAAATGCCATTTGACGCAGGAGGCAAGTCAAATTATTAGGCTTTCCAATAAATAGCAAGGAACTAAGGAAGCAAAGACACAGAGATGTGAGGAGTATGTAGCTAAGACCCCGGTTGTTGGCTTTGACAATGGGAGTGTGTCGTTGCTTAATGAAGATCGCAAGCACGAATACTGTCAACAGAGAAAGGAAAAGAGACAAAGAAGCTAAAGTGATGCCCAAAGATTCCTCAATGGAAAGGAAGGTCTGAACTTTGGGAATACAGCGATCTCTCCCATGATTTGGATAGTCATCTTCCGGGCAGCTGATGCAAGTGTCCCTATCTGTAAAAAGAAAAGATGGTAATGTCACCATCCAGAGCTACAATGCCACTTCATCTCCTGAATAGGTGACATAATAAATTTGGTCTAAAAAAAGAAAATGCACTAATGTTGAAGCTATGAGAACTCTTTTGAAATGTACTTTTCAAAACTCAAGTTCACTCTGAGCTTTTTGTACCAAAATGATGTTTAATATTATAATTAAAAGGAAGTCATTTGAGATTAGGAACAACATCCTCTGGCTGGTGGGGGTTTGCCAGAAAACAATTTAGGACAATACAATCACTATTTGGAGACAGACAGAGATAGAACTCAAAAGAAAGAAAGAAAGAGAGAGAGAGAGAAAGAACTACAGCAATGAATGCTTCAACCTCCCAATCCCAACAAATTTACCCCAGTGGATCATTCTTTGATCACTGAATATATCCTATTTCAGTCTGTCAAGAGTTCTCTGATGTCTCCAGTGCATAATTTTGCTCATAATCTACCTAAACTGAAGAAATCTGAAGTGTACAACATATGGCATAACCCTTTTAGTGCAATTCTCAAGGACACTTGTCTATGAATTGCAGGCATGTACGTTTTGGACTGCAACCCATGTGATAAGTCTTTTACTGGTGTTATCTGTTTTCTTAGAATGAGGGAACATGACTCCTACCTGTCAGTTTTGCAACCTTTCCTTCAGGACATGGAGCACAATCATAGCAACAGAATGTCACCCCTTCCTTCTTTTTCTTGCTGTAGCCAGGAGAACACTTGGCATTACACAGAGAGGATGGAGGCACCTATTCTTAAACAGAGACAATTAGTTAACAGTGAAAAGACATTCAGAGGAAGACTGCATTAGAAATGATCTACTAAGAATATAGGAAGTGGTGATACTGAGAAAGAATACTGATCATTCTCAGCCAGTTCATGTTATTACTCAATTGGTTGAATTATAGGCCAGGAAAAAATCATTCCCAAGACGTGCCTTTTAGCATATGTGACAACTAATCTTTCAGTGATGTTTAGGAGTGTCAAGCTTCTACCACTGCAAATAATACCAGTCAGGTATTAGTTTCATGATGTTGTGGACTTATGTCACTCCTTATGGTTGGCTATGTAGTCCAAAAACATCCTGAAGGACACAATAACGAAGGTTGGTGGTTGAAGTGAGATTACATAACTGCACACACTCTGGATTAAGTATCTTTCACTGGTTCTGCGCTCAGTTTGCAATAGGCCAGAACAGTGGTTCTCAGGGTGTTTGGGCCTATAACTCCCAGAAATCCCAGCCAGTTTACCAGCAGTTAGGATTTCTGGGAGTTGAAAGCCAAAACATTTGGGGACCCACAGGTTGAGAACCACTGGGCTAGAATGTGCACCCAGGTGATATGGCGTCCACATGACACAATCTCATCCAAAACGGGAAGTAAAACTGAAATAAACCAGCTTTCAATATTCATACAAGCACCTTATTTCCCTGAAGTAAGCTGAAGCGTATTTGACTTTCTCCTATAAATGTATTCATCAACTGAGCACCTAGAAAAATGTCTACTGTTTTCTGCGAGTTATGTTGGGTGTTTCCTGAAATGTCAATGTTATGAATAAGTAATAACATTGGTATTTCAGCTTAAAGCTAGACTCACCTTAAATCCAGTACTGGCCACTTTCAGAACATATAAGGACTTTTGGTGAGTATTCTGGGTTTTCTGCTCTTAACCCAACTTTGTTCTTTTTTAGGCAAGGTTGAGGGATAATCCAGAGTTTGCAGGAAACTCCAAAGTATCCTGGGGTTTTCTTGCCGCTTGGACCAGTTCAGTTTCAGACTGATCAACTCTCCAAATGGACTCTGCTGGCATCATCCTTTCTCTGTGCTGACCATTCCTGTGTCACTGCCACTGCTCCTTGTTGGCCACAGAGTTCATTGTGATCATGTCTGGGAGATCTATGTGATCATGTCTGGGAGATCTTTTTGCAACCAACAAAAAGAAAATGAGCAGACATGACAAGTGATGGCCAGGTGCCTGCAAGGAGCTCTTTGACTGACAAGTCTTAGTGATGCTGCTAATATATGGACAAAGGCTGGATCTGGGACACTTCCAGGGCACAAATATCTCTGCATAATCTGCCCTGTGTATATGTGACTTAAGCCTCCTAGATCATGAGATCATAACAAAGTATATCATGTGAGAAGTCATTTTACTACCTGAATGAAGCCTTTATGCCACTGGATTCTCTCTTCATTAATGGTGAACTCTTTGCCAGGAGGAGCATGTGGATCCAGGCTCCCCACCTTGTTCCCAACATAGGAGTTGTTGGGGAAACTGACTAAGTTTGTAATAAGAAACCCGGCTGCTAATTCTCCTTGTTCGTTAAAAGTAACTTCATCTCCAGCATTATTGTTGAAGGAAATCCTTTGAATCAAAGAGTGAAGCTAAGTGGAAGAAAACGTGATACACACAACTCACATTAGAAGGGCTTTGGAATCATTATGCTACCTTTAGCGCTTCTAGTTTCTTCTGTCCCATTCCAAAGTGTAATAACCACAATGTGGATTGTTAGGCTTCTTACAACCTCATCATGCGGATCTAAAATCTAGCTCCGGTTGACCAAGGAGCTGGATGGCTTCCATCAGAAGACCTTGTGCTGGCTCTGTGGGTGAAGGAGCCTGGAACTGGCATGCTGTTACAGCTGCAGCAGCAAAGGCGGCTTCCTGAGTCATCATTGAATTCAATGGGGGGAAGCTTATGGGGTCAGATGCTGGAGGACCCTGACAATGTGGGGTGTGAGGTGGCGGCTGCCCCACACCCTGCGGGGAAGTGGAGCAACATGGAACACTTTCAGTGGCTGTTTGATGAGGTTGTAAGACTGGTGGAATTTCAAATAGATTTATTTGATTAAGTATAAAATGAAATATTAACAATACATTGTTAGAATATTATAAAATGCGTCCAAGTTGGAACTGATTCATTTTAACCAACTCTGACTCCATGACTTTGGCACCACATCTTGGGTCATAAGAAGCTTAATATGACTACATTGAAGCTACTCTGATCTGAATATCTTGTGGTTGACATACATTACTGAAAAAGCAGATTACACCATGCAACTGGGTTATAATTGGTTCCATCTCAAAAATATGGGAAAACTTTATTAAACTGCAAAAACTTTGTTTTTGTGGGAAAATCATGCAGCATGTTTTGCTATAAATTTTCAACTAATATAACATAAACTCTCCATCAATTCATAGTTTGTGGCAGCCACAAAATCAAAGTCTCTAGTGTATAACAGCTACTTATAAAGCAAGAACCACACAATTAAACAGAAAATTACATAGTGTTATACTTAGTAAAGCTGAAGGTGACAGGAAAAGACGAAGACATTAAAAATGGCTCAAGTCCATAAAAGAAGCCATACAAAACTTCCACAAAGATCTTCAAAGAAAATATACAGTAAACTTATGATATTGTGGTTGCAATATCTGGAAAGGAATGGAAGATGTTGAGATGACACAAGGGCACCATTTACACAGCCATATAACGGTCAGTGTAAACTCTCATAATGAAGTTTATCTCCATTACACTGCATTTGATGAGTCCATACTGACCATACAATGCAGTTTCAAATTGCATTGTATGACAGTAGATGGGTCCAAAATTACGCTGATGTCAGAACCAATGATTGCTGCACATCGCACATCTCACTTGCCCTGGAAGCCCTATATACACCTCCTGTCACATCAGCACTTTTAATCTTGTACCCATTGCTCTGGCCCGGCCCAGTTTTATTGTGTTTACTGTATTGTGCCTGTTGTTTATTTTGCTTTATTCTGTTTTTAATTGTTTGATTTGCTTAGATTGTATTGTTGTGTTGTGTGTTGAGGCCTCGGCCTGTGTAAGCTGCATCGAATCCTTCGGGAGATGCTAGCGGGGTACAAATAAAGTTTAATAATAATAATAATAATAATAATAATAATAATAATAATAATAATGTCTTAGAGAATTTTTGAGGCAAATATTGTGATGACCACTACATATCAAACATCAACTCAAACATAGGTTTTCAGTAAGCTATTACCTTCCAAACCTGCCGGTGAGGGGCCAATATGCTTGGCTTTTCCTTTTCTCTGGCATGAAGTCTAGATGAAGTCATGGTATGGAAGGCATGCACAAGAGCATACACAGCGTTATAGATGCTGTAGCTGTGGCCAGTCATCCTCATGTCAAAAAAGGGAGTCGGAAGGCTCTCTAGTTTCTCCTCTCTGGTGCAGAGTTCAAGCTTTCCTGATGGAGCATTGTATGATGGAATGAAACAGTCAAAGCTTTGCTCCCAGAACTCTTTTATGAAACCATTTCCTTTGTCATCAGAAGGGTGGATAGCCTGAAGGTATTCCTGGAAACCTTCAATGTCCTTTGACTGCAGAACAAAAGAGATAGCACCATGGACTGCTTGCATATTGAACCCCTTTTGAATGATGTGTAAAGCAACATCAATTTGTGCTGTCATGATCCACACCTTCACAGCAAAGCTCATGTCATCTACAGGGATGAACATATTTGCAGATATAAAAAAAGTCAGCCATGCGAATGATCCCACTTCCCCATATAGGATCATCACGTTTTCTTTGGCATTCAGGAAAGTGTCTATATTACTAAAGAAACCTTCAATCATTTCATTTAAACCTATATCTTTTGGAGGAATCACTTTAGAAGCAATGCAGATTCCATTCTGCGAAAACATCGGCTCCAGAGTTGACAAGAAATGCTCCCCACTTTTTGTGTCCTTTGTAATGAGCCCGACCCATTTCCATTCAAAATGCAGAAGCAGATGGACGATTCCCCAGATCTGGAAATCCTCATTGGGGACCATGCGGTAAAAGAAAGGGGCATCTGTTTGGTCATTCGTCCTTGGCTCAAATGAACCATAAGAAACCTACATGAATAAATAAAGAAATCATGCAGACGATGGAATGAGGGTACTCAACGACTTCCTTTTTAGTTTTTCCTATCTTTTCATTCAGAAAGATTCCAATATTTGCCTATTAGGTAAGGTGGCATAGTTGTATAATATAATTTGTCTTGTTAAACACTAAAACTTTCAATTACAATGTCAATAAAGCTCTCTCTCTCTCTCTCTATACATACATACACTAGTACATACTTTTTTCTATGCCTTCCTTTCTTTCCTCCTTTGTCTTTCCTTCATTCCTCCCTTTCCCTCGTGTCAGCATTCTCTCCAAGTGGAAGGTGGAGCAAGGTAGGTTCCAAATGAACACCTTTCGTATTAGCAGCCTATAATAAGGTCACCATCAGATGACATTTGCTCCAGAGTTGTAGCCCAATACTCAAACTACTATCTCATGCTAGCTCTCAAGTAAAGAAGCATATAATTTTGCTATAGTTAGGTTAGATAATCAGAGATCTCTGTTCAAAGCAAACACTATGTTAGAAGTGGAAGAGTTTCCATACCCACAACCTTGGATAGTTACTTCCCAATCTATTCATCCTCCCCACCATAATCTTTGGAGGAGTACTTCTTTCTCAACAGACACAAAATCTAACCACTCCACAGCTTCACTCACTTTCTGTGTATATAACATTTACCCCTCAAATCAGGAAACTCCAAGCAATTGAACAAGGAACAAAGAACTACTCCTGAGATTTAGAAAATCTGCAGAACCCCCAAAATCAAATCCTACCTGTGGAATCTTGTAAATGCCCAAGATATCTGCCACATAGGAGGAGGTTTCAGAATCAATCCCTCCAATCACTCCAATGAGATTGTTCTGGAGGCCACACTTGTAGTTGGGAACAAATGCTTTGGATTTGCAGAGCATGTCCAAAGTGACTCGGTAGGTCAGGCTTGCGCTAGAATAGCTGTCATAGATGTGGAAACCAAGAGTGACATTCGGCAAGATCTTGGGGTCCTGATTGATCTCATTGATGGCAAACACCAAGGCCAGGATGTGTTGGTAGTACTTCACCATCACTCTGTAAAGTTATATCAGTCTGTAAAGTTATATATTATATCAGTCTGTAAAGTTATATATTCTGTAGCACTTCTGGAATAACTTTTATCACAATATTCGTTCAACTCTCATTTGGTTTAAAAAAATTCTAACTGAGAGATTTAAATACATCATACTCTGGCAAACTGAAATTGACACTGAAATTTAAATGCTTCAAAGCACGACATTAAATAAAACATTAAATTTTAAATAGTTATTTAAACCAAATGCAGCCAACCATCTATCTACAACCTATGTGAATGATTCAAACAATTTCAGACTGGAATAATAACAGATTCATCAAACATGAAGAAAAGGCTTTAGAATTTCCTGAAAGGTCATCAATGGAAAAACTGCTCTGGGTTTCCATATGAATAGATAATGTGTAGGTTTCAAAGGATAAAATCAGCATCTTCCATTAGGTATGCCTACCTTAGGGCCCATCTACACTGTAGAATTAATGCAGTTTTGCACCACTTTACCTGCCAAGGCTCAATGCTGTAAAATCCTGGAGTTGGTCGTTTGGTGAGGCACCAGCATTCTTTGGCAGAGATGGCCCTTGTAAACCTACAGCTCCCATGATTCTGTAGCATTGAGCAATGATAGTTAGTGATGTGAAATTGCATTAATTCCACAGTGTAGATAAGGGATCCTCAAACTTTTTAAACAAAATGCTAGGTCACAGTCCCTCAAACTGTTGGAGGGCCAGATTATAATTTGAAAAAACAAAACAAAAACATGAATGAATTCCTATGCACACTGCACATATCTTATTTATAGTGCAAAAAACACTTTAAAATATACAATAATTAAAACGAAGAACAATTTTAACAAATATAAACTTCAATGGAAAGTGTGGATCTGCTTTTGGCTGATGAGATAGGATGGTTGTTGTTGTTGTTGTTGTTGTTGTTGTTGTTGTTGTTGTTGTTGTGTGTTTTCAAGTCATTTCAGACTTAGGTTGACCCTGAGCGAGGGCCGGGTAAATTACCTTGGAGGTCTGTATCTAGCCCCTGGACCTTAGTTTGAGTACCCCTGGTGTAGATGCACCTTTGGTTTCTGTCTAAGTAGACAAGCAGAGAATTGCACCATTGAGATGCTCTACAAATTGACAATCTACACTATCTGAAGGCATTCCTTCCCAACTTTTCCCATCAGCCATTGAAAAAAGAGAGGATTATTTCTTGCTTAGCACAAGCAGAAGCAATCACTAAAATTAACTATATTTTGGATTTCTTTACACATTTCCCCATTATAGAATCAGTTAAGTTTGCTAACATACAAGTAAAATTTTTTTCAAACAATATTAACCCTTAAGTGATGGGTAAAATACAAATTTGTTCCTTACCCTGGTAGGTTATATGACTCCTGAGAAGGATGCATTCGGAATGCAATTGGAGGTTCCATCAGATGGATATGAGATGCAATTCCACCAAGAAGGACTTCACTAGGCCGGTGCCATTCATGTGGAATAGGAAGGGGATCTGTTGGTGTGCATTTCATAGTATGCACTTTGCAAATGGCATGAGTGGCCAGGAAGACTGGCAGCACTAGGATCAACATCAAGGACTGCTTGTGTCAATCCTGCTCGGAAAAGCTGAGTTCCAAGATTCTAATTTCTTCTAGCTTACCAACAGTATATTCACCTGTTCAGGTTATTGTAACTCTGCCTGCCTCCAATATCTAATTTTAGCTTTCCACAGTGTACTTGAGTATTTATCATCATTTCAGATTTTCTTTGTGGCGTCCTCTGGAAAAGCCACTGTGGCCTTGATAATGACTTGATTACAGTGATTTCAATAATGAGAGAGAGAGAGAACCAGTTCTGTGATTTTTCTCTTTTTTCTATCTTCAAAAACTTGATAACATAAACATGTTTTAAAGATTTTAACATGACTGACTTTTGATTCAAGGATGGCAACTGATAATTAAGCAGTCAATGTGGAATTTAGCAAATTTTGGGAACTGAAATACAAGTGCTAGAATAGGCATGCCATTGTCCTGAGACAAGGAACCCACAATCCTAAATCCCCCTTGTTGTTGTGTGCCTACAACTTGTTTTTGACTTAACTGTCATCCTAAGGTGACCCTATTATGGGATTTTCTTGGCAAGGAAGTGTGACAAATGCTGAATCTACATTGCTGTATAATGCAGTTTGGAACTACATTATAAGCTCAGTGTAGACCAGTGGTTCCCAAAGTAAGATTCACAAGCTGAATCTAGATCTCTAAGGTCTTTTCCCCAGACTTTGCTGCTACTGCCTCCCACGGATGCATGCGTGGCTGGTATATCCATGTGGCAGTGCATGTATGAAGCCACAGCAAGAGTGAATGAATATGAGTGGCAGTGGGGGGTTTATGGTGACGGCGCGTGATTGTGTATGGCGTTGAATGCCGGGTATGGCAGACACATGATTCATGCACCCACATGCATCCGCCCAACACATGCATACATGCACAATGCATTTATTTCTTATCTGCCTCACCTCGTGGCTTGAAGCAGGTTACAACATACTGTATATACTTGAGTATAAGTCTAGTTTTCCAGCCCTTTTTTAAGGCTGAAAAAGCCCCCCAGATGCACCCCCGTGGACCTTTTCTCAGGCCTTCCTCTTCCTCAACATCATTTCCTTTCTTCCATCCTTCCATCCATTCTTCCTCCCTTTCTTACTCTTTGTCATTGCTCCTTCCCTTCCACCTTTTCATCCTTCCCTTTGATTTTTCTTCCTTTTCTCCTTCCTTCCTCCTTCTTCTTTCCTCCTTCCTTCCTTCCCTCCCTCCCTTCCTTCCCTCCTCTTTCCCTTCCTCCTTCCTTCTCTTCCACCCTTTTCCTTCCTTCCCTCTTTCCCCCTTCCTTCCTTCCTTCTTCCTTCCTTCCTTCCTCCTTCCTTCTTCCTTCCTTCCTTCCCCTTTCCTTCCTTCCTTCTCTCTTTCTTCCTCCTTCCTCTCCCTCCTCCTCCCTCTCTCCCTCTTTCTTTTCTTTCTTTTCTTTTCTTTTCTTTTTTCCCCCCTTTCCTTTCCTTTCCTTCCTGCCTCCCCTCCCTCCCCTCCCCCCCCTCCCTCCCCTCCCCCCCCTCCCCCTCCCTCCTCCCTTCTCCCTCCCCTCCCCTCCCTCCCCTCCCCTCCCCTCCCCCCCCCTTCCTTCCTTCCTTCCTTCCTTCCATTACTTCCTTCCTTCCTTCCTTCCTTCCTTCCTTCCTTCCTTCCATCACCAGGTAGCCAGTCCTGGTGATGAGGGTCACATGCTAGCAAAGTTAGAAAGATTGTCCGGGCCTGTTCTAAATCTTTGAGAAAGTGAAATGTCTTATAGCTTAAATCTTGGCCCAGGGCTTTCTGTATTAATCTATCTCCCAGTTGTGTTATCTGTATCAGTTCATGGGGGAGGAAGGGCTTTGTTTAATTCGTGTCAGTTTTCACAATAAAGACCTTTAGAAGAAGTTTAGAAAAGCATCCATCTATTACTGCTCTCAAATTGAGCTTTATAATCCATTACTTGAGTGTGTGTTACAGTTCAGAACGATTTTATAAGGCATGGAGCCTGGATTTTCAGATGAAACCAACGTACTAAAATAAGGACACAGCTACATATGGCATTATAACTCATAAGAATCCAATATAATTTTTCTCTTCAAAGAAATAGACCTGCAGCACCTGTACATTAGAAATATTCATGTGAATTCTAATCTGATAAAGCAACAGACAAAATATTCTGCTTTAATCAAAGAATTAACATTAATAGATAGGAAGTATAGCACTGTATGCAACAAACATGTATGTCTACTTAAAAAAAAAACTTTAAAAAATCAAAGAATTAAGCCAAATTTCAGGGAACCAAAGTATTTTTATTTTAAGAAGGAGATCAGCTGGGTGGGAAAAATTATCTCCAAATACATCATCTTTGAATCAGGAAAAACATACAGTAGAGTCTTGCTTATCCAACCTTTGCTCATCCAATATCCTGTGTTATCCAACACAGTCTGCCTCTCGCATGGATCCATGGCTGTTTCAATACATTGCGATGTTTTGGTGCTAAATTAGTAAATACAGTAATTACTACATAATGTTACCATGTATCAAACTGCTTTATCTTTCAATTTGTTGTAATGCAATTATCAAAATGCATTTGAAATTTTTGTGTTGCTTTACTCTGACAGTAGGACTGCTTTATGCGGGGAGACTAATGTAACTAATTTACAACAACATAAAAACCTTCCAGCAGTGTGTGCGTAAGAATGAGGAAGTACTCCATCAAGGACTCGGTGTCACAAGTGGACGGTGAAGCGGCAGCTCCCCCAGTGGTCGGAATCGAGCATACCTTCATGAAGCCGCAAAGCTGGAATGTTAAATTGCCTCTGCGCCTGTTAATATATGTTGTATGTCTAATGGCATTGAATGTTTGCCATGTATATGTGCATTGTTATCCACCCTGAATCCTCTGCAGGGTGAGAAGGGCAGAATATAATACTGTAAATAAATAATATAATAAATAATTATGTTGGATAAGTGAGACTTTACTGTAACATATTTAGGCAGATGTTTAAAAAAGTTCTGCAAATCAAAATGAGGAAAAGTTTATTAAAATCGTAATCTCACTTTTAGCAGATATGCTTGTTTTACTTATTTTTTCCTTTTTAGTTGGTTCCTATTGTTCAGCTGAGGTCTCAAGACAATTATATAGCATTTAGGAGAAAAGATAAAGCCCAATATAGCAGCACTGGAGGTCAACATAGAGAAGATCTCCACAGCCACCATATACTTCCCTTTGGTGCTGAGATAACTTGGAGCAAATGACACCCAAACACTGCAAAACACCAGCATGCTGAAAGTGATAAATTTGGCTTCATTAAAAGTATCAGGCAGCTTCCGAGCAAAAAAGGCCACAACGAAACTGACAAAAGCCAGTAAGCCCATGTAACCAAGAATCAGGTAGAACATATTGGCTGAGCCTTCATTGCATTGCACTACTATTTCTTTGGGCA